TGGGTAAGGATGGGGACAGCTCCATGCTCCTGGAAGGGAAGGGCTGGCACCTGGTGTGGAAGAGATGAGGCTGGGGCAGCCAGCTCTCAGCACTGCCCAGAGTGTGCCCTGCTGTGGCCCTTCCCCTGCCAGCCCTTGGAGTCACCCAGAGTGTCCTGTGCAGCATTCCAGTGGCAATTGAAAGGACCTGGGGCTCTGTCCACTGCTGCCATCACTGCAGTAGCAGCGGTGGGAAGCCCCGCTCCCTTTTGAATTGCTGGGCACTGGTGCAGTTGCCCCCTTTCTCTGCCCCTCTTGGAGACCTGAAGAATTTAGTGGACAAAGATAAGAGGAACTCCACTGAGACACATGATTGGACAATGGAACAAAAATAGGCCACATAGTGATGCAGCACCTCCCATTGAATTTCCCCCTCCTGGTGTGAAGGATGGCCATCTTGACCAGTGTCAGGAGGCGGTTCTGTGGCATTGTGGGGCCACGACTGGGCTATGCATAAATCAGGAGATGTGAGGGAAAATGCAGCCAGAACCTCTGTAAGAGTTTCAGGAGAAGCTGGAAAAGGGGCTGCAACCTGATGCATGCAATGTAGGTTTTCCCTCTCACTGCAAAAGGGGCATGTGTTGGGGAAGTCCTTGAACTACATTAGGTTCTTGCCCAGGCTCACAACTCAGGTTGCCAGGTGTCCGGTTTTGAACCGGACAGTCCAGTATTTGAACTTGCTGTTCAGGAAACAAATTGAGACAATATAAATGTCTGGTATTTTCTAAATAAGATGTAATATAGATTGTGATGTAATGTCAAGTGTGTCCAGTATTGCTGTTGAAATTATCAGGCAACGCTACTCACAATACCCAGGATGAATCACCAACTAGCCTCCCCAGTGGTGAATGGCATGATAGAGGAGTCAAGAATGGCCTGCTGAGGTTCCTCATGCTCTGCTGCTTGGGAGATGGGTAACGAATGAGGCAGGGAATTGCAGGTAGGGTTGCCAGGTGTCTGGTATTGAACCGAACAGTCCGTTCTTTTCGCCTCCTGTCCGGCAAAAAAAATTCAGAGACTATTGAATACCTAAAATGTCCGGTACTTTCTGATTTTTTTTCCGGGCCAGGAGGTGAAAATCCCGGGCTGTCCGGCTCAATACGGAGGCAACCTGGCAACCCTAGTGCTTACCGGGCAGTTGTCTGGCCTGGCGCAAGGAGGCAAGATGGCGGGCAGCCGCCAGCAGCTTATTAGGGTCAAAAAGTCTCACCACATGGTGGGGGTTTTTTCTTAAACTTTTTCCTGGCGTGTTTTTTTTTCTTGTTCGGTATTTTTTCTGAAACCATCTAGCAACCGTAATTGCAGGAAGAAAAAGAGTGGTCTCAGGGTCAAGGATGCCTAGGAGAAGTGGATTCTATCTGTATTTCTGCCACAGAAGTCTAGACTCTGAAAGGTATTGAGGCAACTATTTCTCATTGATATCACTGGCCAGTAAATGTACTAGCAATAGTCCCAATCTTTCACTTTTACAAGTGAAGTAACTTTATATACTGAACTCAGGCTCATGCATCATTTTTAGCAGAATCACTATTTTTATTATTTCCATGAATTTGAAATTTCTGCAGTTCTCAAAGGCATCTTGGGGATAAATATCTCTTGCATTAAATAATAATTTTTAATTCATCATGGCAGACCCTTGCATCAGAGCAAGGGTGAAACTGACTGTAAACAAAAAATTCATTAACCTTTCTCGTAGCCTAGAGAAATGCAAAAGAAAATAAATCAGCATTTATTGCGAAAAGCAAATTATATTTATAGATATTTTAGCTATTAGATTCTATTGATAAATGTTGGTGAATGTCAGTTTCAGCATACACTCCCAAACATAAAAATATATTTCCATTGACAATGGAAATTTACAGATGGGCAAAGAAGGAAAAAGGTTGCTTGAGAATTTGTTAGATTTAAGGATACTTACTTAACATATATAGATTGTGATGCTGGCAATTTGTGTTTAATGGTTGTACAGTTTTAACATTTTGAATATCAACATCTACTATCATGGAACAATTACCTGACCTCCTCCATTGTCTGATTCTCTTATTTTTGTGAAAAATAAATCACATAGTTCTGCATAACTGTGAACATTTGGATACACAATACAAAAATACTTAATAAACATTAATAATTCCATTTAAATAATTACAATGAGGCATGGCAGAGTTCAGTTTTTATCATCTTATGTTAACATGGAGAATTATTATTTTGTAATTTTTCGCCAGACCCTCTCTTTGAAATTGCGCACATACATTTTCTAAGTACCAAGTATTTTCTGTCTGTCTAGGTTTCAGAGACAGGAAGTTGTGGTTCAGCCTCTGATCTTCCCTTTGACCCCTGTGGTCCTCCCCATCAGTTATTCCTGGTTATCTAATCTCCCTTCTTCACTCACAGGGTGGTTTTGTAATTTGGCTTCTCATAGGCTGCGTCTAGACTGGCATTATTTTGCAGAAATACTTTGAACGGAAAAGTTTTTCCGTTAAAAGTATTTCCGCAAAAGCGCATCTAGATTGGCACAGATGCTTTTGCGCAAAAAGTGCTTTTGCGCAAAAGCATCCATGGCCAGTCTAGACGCGATTTTGCATGAGAAAGCCCCGATCGCCATTTTAGCCATCGGGGCTTTTTTGTGCAAAACAGTTCTTCCCTGTCTACACTGGCCCTCTTGCGCAAGTATTCTTGCGCAAGAGGGCTTTTTCCCAAGCGGGAATGTGAAAGTATTTGCGCAAGAAGCACTGATTTTGTACATTACAAAGTCAGTGCTCTTGCGCAAATTCAAGCGGCCAGTGTAGACAGCTGGCAAGTTTCTGCGCAAAAGCGGCTGCTTTTGTGCAAAATCTTACCCGTCTAGACGTACCCATAGTTTTTCTGAACCAGGAGGCTGCTGGACTCTTATGTTACTGAATAGACATAAGAGAGTAAATTAACCTAGAAATAACCACACTACTCTAGATCAAGATTGTGTAACAGCTACTGCCCCTCTTTTAATTAGAAAGGAACAAAGAATAACCTTGTTAACTGTTTTTCATGGTCAAGCCCATCTTGCTCTTATCACTAATAAATGAGTTAATTGTGAAGGGCTTTGCATATTTTGCTGAAAAGTGTTGTGGTGTAAATATGTTCACAGAACTCATTTACAAGGACATATGCCAAATGTAACAACTGTTATCCAACACCTTTGCAGTGCATTTCCATCCTACCCCAGAGCTGGCTGCATTCCAGTGGTGGGTGAAAGAAGTTATAATTTATAAAGGGTGCTGGTGATCTTCCCGGATGATATACATGATGTAAAATACAGCACTACCTTTGCTGCAGTAGTGTGACTAGCCTGACAGGTTGAATGGAGTGTTATTAGACTGCATTCATTTTAACTCTACCCTTTTGTAGCCTTACAATAACAAACGTCATATTCAATTCATAGGGGATAAAGGCATCTCTTTTATCAAATCGCAGCAAACAAACCACTGGCTTATGTACATTTAATTTGCTTTAAGAGATCAGCCTGATATCTTAATCCTAGGCAAACCGAATACTCTCTCGGGTCCGCTCAAGTGAAAGGTCTGGAGAAGGCAGTCTAGCACGAAGACCCACTCCGATTTCTTTAAGCTGGGGATAACTGGAGAGGAACCAAAGCGGTCGGGGGGAGAGTCATCGATCTTTCGGTCGCTGAACTGTACATTTAATTTGCTTTAAGAGATCAGCCTGATATCTTAATCCTAGGCAAACCGAATACTCTCTCGGGTCCGCTCAAGTGAAAGGTCTGGAGAAGGCAGTCTAGCACGAAGACCCACTCCGATTTCTTTAAGCTGGGGATAACTGGAGAGGAACCAAAGCGGTCGGGGGGAGAGTCATCGATCTTTCGGTCGCTGAACCTCAATCCCCAGCTCCCTCCCCCCCACCCTGCAGCCTCCCCAGCCACCCTGCTGCTGCTGTTGGCTGACACCATATCCACCGCCTCCTGCCTGAGCCCAACCCTGCTGCAGTTTA